GAGAGAGAGAGAGGGCTTCCCTGGTGGCGCAGTGGTTGAGAGTCCGCCTGCCGATGCAGGGGACGTGGGTTCGTGCCCCGGTCTGGGAAGATCCCACATGCCGCGGAGCGGCTGGGTCCGTGAACCCCAGAGAGAGAGGGAGAGAGAGAAGGGGTGAGCTGGGGGAGAGGAGGGAGGGAGGCACAGGGACCACTCAACACATCACAGCTATAAAGGAAAAAGAAAAAGAAGGAGAGAGGGGGAAATAGCATGCAAACATGCAGGTTACGCCTACTCTTAGAACATACTCCAGGAAATAGGAAAAAAGTTTCAATAATAAATTATATGAAATTTAGCTAAAAATAAAGAGAATCAGAAATGACTGCGAAATGAATTCAAAGATGAAATGAGACAACAGACTAAAATGAAAAATTGCCGCGATACGGAAATGGATTGAGGCCAGTAATTCACTGTTAGAGAGGTAAGGCCTATATTCAAAACCACAGGGAAGCGGGCAACACAGCTCACACCTAATTAGTTCCACTGAGGACAAGCTAATCGCCTTTCACAGAGATATTCACACAATGAGAACAAAGACAAGAGCAACAGTCAGAAAGGGATGATTAGTCGAACCAGGAGAAAACGCCATGTTTGTAGGTTTAATGGCCCAAAATGGCAATTCCATGTGGCTTGACCCAGCTAGACGCAGAGGTGAGCCAGACACGAGCACAACTGGTCTATCAGAAATGAAAACGAGCACAGAAAAAACAGATTACTGGAAGATTTTCCTGACACAAAGGAAAAACAAGGCTGCAGATTTAAAGGGCACTTTTTCCTGTTCCAGGAAAAATTGGTTCACAACCATTGATCCCTGAGACTCACCTGAATTTACCGACTTGCAAGGATACATCGCATTGTCTGAGTGTCCAGGCACAGAGGTAAGATGTCTGCGTCACCTAAGATGGAAAAATGTAGGCCAGCCTCAGACTCCACTGCAGGGGCACTCGGGTCAGAAGACACTGTGGTGTCAGAGGCCCTGGGAAAGGCACTCAGGGGTCAGAACACCCCGAGAAGTTCTCTTTCTCCACCAGGGAAGAGTTCAGTCGATAGTGTCACCCACCAGCCCTTCTCAAAAAAAAAAAAATACTTAACCCCCCAAATTTAACCAACACCAGTTGAATCAAGACTTTTAAAAAACTTAAGTATGAAAAAGCCTGGAAGAAAAGGACACTGGCTCTATATTTGAATACTGTGCAACCATGGACACAGAGCAAACGCTGGTGGTACAAAATGCAAGTCTGTAAAAGTGGGAAAACCTGCAGCAGTCATGGGGAAGGAAAATGGGTGGGGGAAATGCACGTGCAAGGAGGAAATCAATGGGCTTTTTAAGTTATAATATTAAATTTTAAAAAAATTTAAAAAAGAAAGTTGACCCTAATCCCAACTTTTTAGCTTCACTCTTTTGAGCCTTAGAGTTTTTTAGGAACTAATGTCACTTATGAAGCTTACACATGTCCTTCCTTTTCATCTTATTTTGTTAGATACAAGTTATATGAAATCTAATAAATGATATATATTTTTAAATCATTGAGCTCATTTTTGTAAAACTTTGTAGAAATGTCTATCTACTTTCCTCTGAGAATACATGCACTGGAAATCTCTGAAATGATGTTGAAGAAACAGGAACAGTAACGATTTCTTGGTGACGAGATTTGGAATGAATTTTTGCTTTTCGTACATAGAGCATTCTCATCAATACAATAGTTACATTTGAAAGAAAAGAAGAGAAAGTCTATCAATGCCATAGTCCCCGCCTGGCTGTCATGTGCTCACCCAGGATTTCTTCTTCTTCAGGTGTCAATGTCCTGTCACCATGTGGACCTGTGAGTGCCCTGCTGAACCTTCTTATAAACATAGAACCTTGTCATCTCCATCCAATTAAAATCATCTGAGAAGGTGCCACACAGTCAAAAACGTCCTCTGTTACGCAAGAGATGGTCATTACCCGAGTGAGTTAGTGATCCGTGAAGGGCGGCCCGACTAACTTAAGAGTGTTGAGAACGAAACAAGCACAGCCAAAAAGGCTTTTGGTAAAATAATGATTCACTCACAGCTGCCTGGCCCAGGAGCCCCTGAGCCCTCCTCTCCTCTCTGCCTTCACAGAGCGGCTTAGAGCGGGTGACGCCCGCTGTTGGCACAGGACACAGTCCCGCAGGGCCTGAAGACCCCTGACTCATGCAGGCTCTGCGGCGGCTCTGGGGGCACCGGGCAAAGGAGACGGCTCGCTGGGCCAACAGCCAGGACGTCCAGGTAGCAGGCCACCGTGTGGAAGCCTATGACACACCCTGGCCTGCAGATTCTCTACAGGAGCAGCCCAAGGTGAACCCAGAGGGATGGGGGGAAAGGGCACAGGTGGAGAGAAAGGGGACCCGGCAGGGAGAACACGGAGTAGAGACGCTTTGTATCTCACAGGGTCAGGAGCTGGCTCCAGGCACCCACGACCATGAATCCAAGAGCAATTCTTCTCCTTTGGGTCACAAAACCGCTACAAATTGGAAACAGAAACATGTCTTCTGTGAACATACTTCGCAGCTCTTGCTATAAGGATGGCCATGTAAAAAGCTGTTGGATGGGGCTTCCAGGAAAGCTATCTAAAGGTGGCTGATTCAGCTAGGCGGAATGTAGACGTGATGGCCACAGCCACAATAGAGATTTTGCAACCATGAGGAAATTTGGAGCAGAAAGAAAAGGCCTATATCCCTGATAATGGGAGAAGGGAGGTGTGAGAAACCAACTCTAAGCAGCCTACCTCCAGATTCATTTTATGGAAAAGAAAAATAAATCATTATCTGGTTCAAGTCTCTCTTATACATGTTTTCTGCTACGTGCGTCTGAACCTAATCCTAAATGATACAGCTAAAAAATTTTATCTATTTCCCTAAACTCCTACAGTATTTATACTTGACACTAATAATCTAGCCCTGAATTATACGTATATGTATTATTTATTAACAACTGCATGATAGATGATTCCCATCTTACCGCAGGATCATAAGCTCTGTGCGTGGAAATGAACCGTTTACACGGCCTGCTGGGGGCTCAGAGCCCCCTGGGCCGCCGGCCAGGCTCACAGGGGCCCCTCGTCTCTACCCTCTCATTCGCGACGAGCACGCCGAGGACAGGGGAAAGCGAGTCTCTCCGTCTACTCTTCAACCGGTGATGAAGGTGTTATTTGCACGGGCGATGGATGAAGAAATGAAGGTTCAGAGCCATGAGTCACCTGCCTGGGCGGCTCAGCAGGAAGACGGCAGAAGCTGGGTGCACACACTTGTCCCCCGCTGGGCGGCCTGGCCCCCGGGACTCTGGCCGCTGCGCCCCTCAGCCCCACGGCTTTGCTCTGAGAAGAGCCTTGCTGGATGGGATCTTCATCAGCGGGCAGAGGAGTTAAAATCGTTTCTATTTTACTTTCACTTTTGTTCTGAAATGGACAGCAGCCTGGTCCCAGGGTTGGGACTGGGACCCTGAGGGCGGTGGCTGTCCCAGGAGGGGCAGGAAGGTGGCGCGTGTCCCTCAGCGCTCAGGAAACCCCCCAGCAGGGACAGGGCGTTTGCACGTTGTCCCGCCCCCACCAACTCCCCCTGCAGAGAGCGGGGAGTTTATCTCACTTCTCAGCCCACTCCCCTCGCACAGGCGGGCTGAGGGCCCTGGTCTGGAACGTTCTGGGGTTTCTGCCTCCCAGGAGGTCCCAACGAGAGGCGACTGGGAGAGACAAAGCTGAGCCCCTCCTCGCCTACCGTGGCTCCTGTCACAACCTGCCCACCAGCACCCCGCTGTGCTGGAGCCTCGGGACGAGGCCACCCCTGCGTTACCCCTAGATTTGCCCACAGGGCAGCTCGCAGTGACAAGCGCGTCCTCGAAGCTCTGCCGTGTCCTGAGGAGGGCGCTGCCAGGTGCAGGCAGCTCGGGACCGCGCTGGTGCCAGGTGGTACGGCTCTGACTCCAGAACATGCCTTCATTGTAATAATCATTATTATTCTCGTCACTGACTGTATGAATTTCCGGGGTGGCTGCTTTTCTGCCAAGTTTAAACGTAATAACAGCTTCTGGAGCAGAAGTTCAGATTCCTTTTCTACATCCTCTGTGATCACGGGCATCGACTTTCCATCTTCGTGGGGCTCAGCCTCCCAGCCTCCGTCCCCCCAGGACCGACCACACCTCAGGCCTGTGCAGATTTACAAAATGGAAGAGAAGCGCGTCATTGCTGACCCAGAAGGATTCTTTTAGACCACCAGGGAAAAGAACTGAAATGAGAGAAAATCCTTCAGAAACAAGAGCAGCGCTTGTTGTCATGACTCCAGTGGATTGAACCTTGCCCGGTGTTTAGGCAGGCCGTGACCCCATAGGAGATCGGGGGTCCAGCTGACACCGTGTTCCCTACACTGTTTTCTGGCAACCGACCCCCTCTCTCCCGAGGGGAACCGACTGGGTGGAGCCTGAACGAGGCCGAGCCCACTCCCCACAGCTGCCTACTGGGGTCAGCGCTCCTGCCCCCACCGTGGGTTCAGGGGTGGGCACCTACCTCGCCCCCTGAGGTCTTCCTGCAGCCGGAGGAAGATAAAGGCCTCTCTTCCTCTGGGATGGTGAGAAGCAGATGTTTACAGAATGAGACCATAAACAGGGCACAGCCCTCGAGATAAGGAGAGAGAGGCGGGGCACCCCTGTCTGAGCCCCTGGGTTGAAGTGGCTGGGGAAATACAGATTTGCCCCAATAAAGTTGAATCTCAGGGGAAGAACAGATATGGGACATACTTTCCCTAAAAAGTTCTTTATTCTTCATCTGAAATTCAAATTTAACTGGGTGTCCTGGTTTCGTTTGGTTTTGCTTTTGTTTTTTTGCGAAGTCTGCAATCTTACCAGACTTAGATCCATCTGTGTCTGAAGGCCAGCACGCCCTCACCTTCCCGGCGAGCGGCTGGGTTTCTCTACTCACAAACGAGGTGGCGTTTGCCAGTCTGTCCTTCTGTGGTGAGCACTCTCCTCCTCCACGGGAGAAGAGACGGTTATCCGGGCTCCACGAGCGCCAACCCTAAAGGAGGAGGAGTGATGCTCTCGCTCTGCCGCTGTTCCGTAAACGGAGAAGGGTCAGCTCTCCCGAAAGCCTGTGGTGTCGGTAGGAACACAGCTTCTTGCACCAGTGGGATAGAATAGAGTCCTGAGAGATCCATGGGCCGCGGCTCTGCACAGCGCTGGGGAAGGAGTGCTTCTGTGGTCTGCGGATGAATGCCAAAGCACCCCGAAATATAATGGCTTAAAACAATCAAATATTTGTCTTACTTTCCAGCTGCAGGCCTGAGCTGGGAAGTCCACAGTGGCACGCGCACGCACACACACATGCGCACACGTGGCTGTCAGCTGTTCATTCTTCACTTCTCCTGCACGTGACCTGGAGTTTCTCAAGTTTGGTTCCGAGAGGGAGCCTTCCGAGCCTGGGGCAGCAGAAGCCTCAGATTTCTCACGGCACGGCCTCGAGGTCACGTGGTACCGGCTGATTGAAGTAAGTCCCAGACTTGCGAGCGTCTCTCCATGTATGTGACACTTCATCAAAAGTCTACTGAAAAAAATTAAACAACACAAATTTTTTGTGGTCAAATTTGTCAGCCTTTCATCTCTTTGTCTCTCTGGGTCTTGCTTAAGAAGGCCTTTCCTATCCCTGAAAACTGAAGTACTCTCTCATTTATTTGCATGCATTAGTTTTAGAACTTTTATAATGTTCAGTTTTCTAACTGAAAATTATTTTTGTGAATATTATGAATTAGAATGAAACTTTTTCCAAAAATAGATGAGTGATTGTCCCAGTACCATTTATTAAATCATCTACTATTTCCCTTATTAATTTGAAATAAGTCTAGACTCTCCATTCTGTATCATTATAGTGTTTTTTTCACTCCTGCACCGCACTGATTCATATAGTGTTTTTTTCACTCCTGCACCGCACTGATTCAAATACCTTCATACGACATTTTGATATCTGGAAGGGCAAATTTTCCCTGTTTGTTCTTTTTTTTGGTTATTCTTGCAATGTAAGTGCACCTTGTCATAGCCTTTGGTTTTACCAATCTTAAACTTTTTTTTTTTGCGTTACGCGGGCCTCTCACTATCGCGGCCTCTCCCGTTGCGGAGCACAGGCTCCGGACGCGCAGGCTCAGCGGCCATGGCTCACGGGCTCAGCCGCTCCGCGGCATGTGGGATCTTCCCGGACCGGGGCACGAACCCACGCCCCCCGCATCGGCAGGCGGACTCTCAACCACTGCGCCACCAGGGAAGCCCCCAATCTTAAACTTTTATCCAGCAATAACACAATACAATGATCTTTTATCATAGTAATTTACCTATAATTTGCATATACTGTACACTGAGCAGTTTCTGGAAAGTGTTTTCAAACCCATCATCATATTTGAATTTTCACAAGCAGGGCATTACTACCATCCTCATTTTTACAGATAGGAAGACACACAGAGAGGCTGCCTTAATCACCTGTGGTCATACACACCAGACTATTAAATGGCAGAGGAAATAGGAACTCAGGCCTTTGGGCGTTCGGTCTGCTGGGCCCAGGGCCACCCTTCCCGCCACCATCCTCACGTGCCGGGCAACATCTCTGAGCTCTGCTTCCACAGTCCAAATGAGATGCTCACCTGCATCACGTTGGCTCTATTTGGTAAGTTGTACTTTACCGTGGGTTCAGCTGTCCTCTAGGTAGGAGTCCCCTGGCACAGGATGAAGGCCCTAAGCCCACATTCTCTGTCACCTGCTTTCCTCCACGGGGAATGGTGGGGCTCTGTGTACAGAATGTGAGTCGAGCCCGCTCAGAGCCCTGTGTGGCAGAGGTGCGGGTGGGCATCTCCTCCCCCCGTGCGAGGCTCAGGGTTACGTTGCCGGTTACTCAGCCGATGCTGAGAGCCGCTCGAGCGTTTAAATCTGTCTGTCTCGATAGGAAATGCAGAGAGGAAACCCTGGGTGACTCTGGCAGAGCAAACTGGAGTCCTGTGTGCCGATTCTCTTCCCATTTGCAAATTAATTAGTAAGACACCCAAAGCAGTTGGGCCAGTGTCACTATTCCAGCCTCACAGAGAGACCCTCATCTAAAACAGAAATGGGACATCCAGACTTCACAGCTGTTTATCTGGCTACAATTCACCCTGAACTCAGAAGAAGAAAGGAAGTCCTGGCTCAGGAATGAGGTTTCTACAGGACAATACCTTTCCAGTTGTGACAAGACAGGTCATTACTGAGCTAATGATATCAAAAGCCCAGATATTATTTAAGGCTGACACGAGGCGTTTGGCTCCTTGTTAGGGCGGCTGAGAGAGGAAAATTCTCTCCATCCTTTTATAATTTCAGTGTTTAGATAATTAAAAAAAGAAAAACCTTCCAGAACATATTTATTAAGTGGTGACTGACTAAATCAACATTGAAATAGGGTGGCGGTGAGACATCCAGAAGCGCCTGCATTGGCGGCGGCCCTGGGGCTGTCAGGCAGGATGCAGGGGAGGCTGGGAGAGGGATATTCGATGCAGAAATGGGCCCTTTCTCTCCTTCCCTGTCTCTTCCTTGTGGGCCTCTTTCAAGGAAGAAATGAAACAGGAAACGTTCAAAATGTGTTTCATACGTTAGGCCATAAAGCTCATTCGTTTGGTAAATAATTACCCAGCACCCCTGTGCATGGGCCCGGCCGGGGACTCGGGACACAGCGCTTCCCCGGAGCTGATGGACGGTCAGAACACCAGCCGGGCAGGCACGTGGGCCCTCGGACCCCACGGCTCTACTTGCCCTGGGTCCTCCCTCACTCAGGCCTTCCTTCCTCTGGGCCTCGCTCTTCCATCCTGACTGGAAGGCTTGGACCACCAGGCTTTTGGGTCCGCCCACCCCAGATCCCGAGTCAGCTCGGAGGCCGCTACCCCTGCCACGTCTTCATCTAGAGCCGGAGCTCCCACGGCGAGCCATCCTGGACGGTGCCACAGGGTGTGCACTGCACAAACGCCGGTGCCCCTTAACACCCAGCGCCGCGAACTCCCCAGCTCCCTTCATCCCGCTGTGACACTGCCAGCCCCCGCTTGGTGAGGGTCCAGGCCTCGGACCCAGAACTTCACGTGTGTGATCTCACTCAGCACTCGCTTCCCACACAGGTGCCCTTTACTGAGGTCGGGACATGACACAACGTACCTCGCTGGAAAATGTGCACGCATGTGTGCTCACCTGTGACCTTTTGTCCAGCGTCACCCTTTCCTAAAGCCCCTCCGTCTCCATGTTGACCTGTCATCCACGTGGCTCTGCACCTCCACTCCCCCCACTGGAGAAGGGCAGGTGAGACCCAGTAGGACCCATGAGGAGAAAGTTCTCCCCTCTGGCACCCCTGCCCGGGGTGGCCCTGTCCCCCACGAGCAGTGAACAAAGCCAATGCAGAGGCTGGGGCAGGGGGAGGATGGACAAAGCTCCCACCTCGAGCTGGTGGCCAGAGCTGACCTCTGTGTCTGGCAGCTGAAGCCTCATGACCAGTGCAGCACCGTGTGCTGGTCAGTACTGAGCGGTACGGGGATCTGAGCTCCGGCTCCAAGGCTGACGCCATTTCATCACACCCCACTATCCTAGGTCCTCCCCGCGCCAGGACACTGGTTATCCGCCCTCCTCGCCCTGGAATCCATCACCCAACAAACTACATCTAATCAGTGGTCAGTCTGTGTTCCCACTTCTTCTCCATCAGACGTACTAAAATAGCTCACCCAGGGCTTCCCTGGTGGCGCAGTGGTTGAGAGTCCGCCTGCCGATGCAGGTGACACGGCTTCGTGCCCCGGTCCGGGAAGATCCCACATGCCGCGGAGCGGCTGGGCCCGTGAACCATGGCCGCTGAGCCTGCGTGTCCAGAGCCTGTGCTCCGCAACGGGAGAGGCCACAACAGTGAGAGGCCCGCGTACCGCAAAAAAAAAAAAAAAAATGCTCACCCAGCCCCTAATGGACACTTAGACACGCCAAGCGAGTCATTCCAGCCGGAGGAGCCCGCTGTGTCCCAGCTTCAGCAGCCTGTCCTGAGCGCGGGCCTGCTCTGTGGCACCGGTGGTCTCCCTGGCTATCTGTTCTCAGCCCCCCAGCTGGGCCCTGGCCTGCAGTGCCTCTCAGAGCCGCCCCCAACTGCCCTCTCTCTACACCCATCCCCTGTCACTGCCCCACTGCCCTCCTCTTTCCAGAACCATCATCTAAATGCTGATGAATCTTAAATCAGTGACTCCAGCCCCGATCTCTTCATTGAGCTTCAAACCACACACACAGTCCCCACCCACCACTCCCGTCACATGCCCCAAGTGGCTGCAAGTCCAACATGGTCAAAACTGTGCTCATCATCTTCCCTGACTCCAGCCCGCCCCCTCCCCCCGGCTCCCCCAGGCTAGCTTTGCTGCATCGAGCGTCCAGCTGCTGGAGGCGGACGACTCCTGGACCCACACCCCGCCCCGGCCCCATCAGTGACCACATCCTAACACAGTCGGCTTCCACATTCACTGGCCTGGAAAACAGTGTCCACCGCCTGTCACCTTGGCTGCCCGTGTCACCTGTCCTAACAGCCCCCTTCGGGGTCACCTGAGTGAGTAACCCCAGGGGGTAAACAGTCCTGCAGGGGATGCTGGTGGCTGGAGGACACTTTCCCGGGAGGGGCCCCAGCTGCACGGGGAACTGAGCAGGAAAGGAACGCGTGTGCCCGGAAGACCTCCCAGACCTTTGACCCAAATCCCAGCGGCGTTTGGTCCTCTGCCTGCAGGGCAGGACATCTTCCAAGGACGGTGTGAGGACGCGGGCCTCTCCCGGCCTGAGCCGCCCTCGCTGACTCACTGTGGGTCCCTGCCTTCCTCTCAAGTGTTTGGACAAGTGTGGGCTTTCTGACCAAACATTGGAGTTTAAACAATGGCCTAAATTCATCCCTCAGAGACTGACACTCAACCTACTGTTTTCTGTCTTTGAACTCCGTGTGTACTTGGACCCGGGTTGGACGTTGTGCAACTTCCTGCAGGAACGTGCCATTAGCCTGGGGGAGGGGCCGCCTCAACCCCGGCTCAGCCGGACACTCAGCCACAACAAACCCGACCTCCCAGTGCCCCGGCCCCTGAACTCCCAGTGCCCCTCGGCGATCTGGGTTTAATTACAGCGTTTTCAAAGGCGGCTTCCCAGTCAGCCTCAGACAGCGGGGTCTGAGCCTAAACCCTGCGGTGCCACGGGCGTGACGGGCGCCGGCTGCGGCCTGGGCGGGACCCGAGCTCAGCACACAGCCTGGGGGGACGGAGCATCCCTTTGGGGGATGTGCCCCCGGACGCCCCGGCTTCTGGGCAGGGGATGAGGGGGCAGCACACAGAAGCCACCAGACAGGGATGCTGCGGGTCTGGTGTGCAGATGCTCCCCCGAACCGGCCTGCATCCCAGGATGGTGCAGGACCAAGACCCCTCCCGGCTGGGCTGCAGGCGTCGATGACCCTGACCATCCCAGAGCTGGGCTTCGTGGTCAGTAATCAAAGATGCGCAGCTTTGTCGGGTCATCATTCCTGCGGCTGCTTTAATCAGTGC